ACTCTTTCTCTATAATAATACTAACTTCGGCATTCAATTCTTCATATGAAGAAGAAGTTACCCAGTAAAACCAAGATGACGAGCAAAGATTCGATCAAATAGTTGATCGGAATCTAAAGGGAGATCCAAGAGCTTTTCTATGATATCCTAGTCACTAGGACATCAGCCACCAAGATTATATCATTATCTTCAATGAAATTTTGCAGGAAATCCCTCTCCTCCAATAAGGGTAGCACAGGAGGAACTTCAAAGTAAATCCTTTAATTTTTTTATTTTTTTTGTATTTAGATTGCTTCAATGTTTAAATATCAAAAATAAATTTTAAAAAATAAAAAATATTATTTTAGTATAGTTTTAAATCAATAATATTTAAAAAACAATCTTTATTATAATAATAAACAGGATGGAGTTATCTTTGTTTGAAAAATTGTTTGAAACTGTACAAATGGAGAATTTTAAAAAACAATTATTATTATAATAATAAACGGGCTCATTCATTTATGCTAAGAAAAACAACAAAGACGGAAAATTAAGAAAATTAGTTAATGGAGTTATATTTGTTCAGATTGTGCAAGTGCAGAATTGAAGATGAACTTAAGGACAACTTGCGTATGGAAAATCTACTTTGAGCGACGAAAATCTTCAAGGTCAAAACGAAAGAGAGGTTTTAACACACAAATCCATCGAACCTTGAGAAAAATGAGAGGATTTCACTCTATGACGCCATACTTCTTCAGAATTTCTTGCCTCCACGTTAAAAACGAGATTAATGAAACAAATTGTTCAAAGACTAGAGGGGATTTTGGACGTAATAGCAAATAATAAAACAATTAGTCCCTTTAGTATTTTGCAAGATAAATTAAGTAGTCCCTCTAATTTTAAAAATAATTAATTATTTTTTTTAATTAATATAGATATTGAATTAGTTTGCTTGCGTATATTTCTATTAATTTTATAAACTCTAAAATTAACGATTAAATAAATTTTCAATAATTCTAAGATTTGTAAAATTTAAATTAATAAATTTCAAGAGCAAATCTAAAACATAATCATTTAAATTTTATTTTTAAAATTAAAATAATTAATTATTTACTTAACTAGCATTGATCATGTTTAATTTAATGTTTTTTTCAAGAAGATGTTCTTTTTGCCATCATTATTTCCGTGTTATATATCTTCTTTGTTCTATCTCTTAAAAAAACATATATAAAAATTTGGGAAAATACATGAAGTTGGTGAAAAGAATCAAAGTACAGGTAGATTTAAAAATATAAGGAACTAATTAATTATTATTGAATTTAAAAGGATTATTTAATTTGCTCGGAGAAAAATGCGCCGCTCACCGTCCGCGAGGAACATACGTACAAACTGCTAAAAGATATTTAGAACAAAAAGCTTATGAGCTAAAGATCAACCATGCACGTGGCCACCTCTTGCTAACGCGACGACAATTTGCAAGTCCACAACGGCAATAAAGTCAATTTTATTTTGATTTTTTTATATAAATCCATCCTGGAATTTCGTTGCACTACAAGAACGAGTAACAGATGTATCAAATGATGATGATTAGGGCTAACAGCACCTTAATGATGATGATTTGGGCTAACAACACCTTGATTAGCTTAGGCAAAGCAGCATCACCAAAAGATTAGGCTCACAAAACAATCAACAATTTGAATTGGATGACATAAAAACAAGATCATAACGAGAGAAGTTCCTCGAGATTCTTGAAGTGGAACTTAGTTGATCAATTTTAGAAAATACTTGACCTTTTTTAGTATCACGACAAAAACTAACGTGCCAAAAATATCAAAATTCAGCTGCTCCGACAAAAACCTTAGAAAATATCTTAACTTACGTGGGAATTGTTAGACATGACTAGCAAACAAGTGTCACTTCTACGTAACGGGGAAATATTGTTAGTTTGAAGGTTGTTTTTTAATTGATTTTAGTTTGGAAATTTATTAGAATAATATTTATGTATTTATATGAAAAATATGCTTGGAAGTAGAGGCGGAACCAGAAAATAAAATTAAAAAGGGTTAAGATGTTAGTTGTTTTATTATTTAGATTAAAAATATAAATATTATTAAGAGAAGGGCTGGAAAAAAATTTATATAATTTTTTACTGTTTATCCTATGGTGTTTTTAATACATGATCATGGAATTTGATAGCATGGACTAACAACGAGCTTACTTAGCTCCTGCAAGAGTCAATTTACAACCAATAAAATTATGCTCGTGTGTGCTAGCATAATTATATCGTGTAAGATACGGGATTCAATCCAAGAAAAATAAGTATGAAATAAGGATTCAAAATTCAAAATTCAAAATTCAAAATAATTTTACATAATTAAATACGCCAAACAAGCTATTAATTAAGGAAACTCAATTGAGACCCTCCAACAAATATATTAAAGTTGACCAAAAAAAAGAAGAAGAAGAAGTAGAAGTAAGCTGCACAGAATTAATTAGTCAATTGAGGGGGCAAGTCAGTATAAGTTATTTATCTTTTATTGCAGTTCTATTGTGTTTTTAAATTTTATTTTAATTTTAAATTAATATTTTTTGATATTTTAAAATTGTTTTGATATATTAATATCAAAAATAAATTCTTCAAAATATAAAATATTATTTTAATAGATTTAAAATAATACTTTGAAAAAATACATTTTATAAACATTCCAGTGGATCCAGGAAACGGTGATTTACCCTTTGTGGACGATTTCTTGCAGCGTATAAAATAATAAGTGGCAGCCCAATTCGGTGTCCAATATCCAATCATTTCTTCTCCTTTCTCAAGGGAAACAGCTCAGCTCAGCTCAGCTCAGCTCAGCTCAGCACAGGCCTCATATCACTTCCTTGAAACCTCACCGACCGATCTCACATACCGATTCGTGATTCTGATAACTAACTTGATTTGATATATTGATTTGTGATTTGCATGATTTGGAGTATAGGTTAGGTAATAAGCCTAAGTTAAAAAAAAAAATTACTTAATCTATTGCCATTAATATTTTTTTATTTTTTAAAAATTATTTTTAAAATTAGCATATTAAAATGATTTGAAAATATTAAAAACATATTAATTCAAAATAAAAAATAAAAATTTTTAAATTTTTTCAAAAATACTTTTCAAACATAATATCAAACACCTTCTAGCATCACAACCCATTTAGCATACCCTTTGAAATTTCGGGTTGATTCACAACCCATTTAGCATAAAAAACCCAGTCACAATCTGACAAGTGTTTTTTTCTAAAATGATATTGTTATTTTATAAAATAAAAAAATTAAATTAATCTAAATAAAGTTACTTAGCCCCTAACACCGAATTTGTCCTAACTCCGTGCAGAGTACACTTGATGCACCGTCATGTTGATGTTAATTAATAGAATGAGGGCCCCATGGGCGGAGCGTGTTGCAATTCGTACCCTCCATTTCTCGAACACTTGTCCAGTTTTATAACCTCAAATTACTCATGTGATAAATCACTTTCACAGACCTTTTTCAGCATAAGA